GATTTTCTACGGAAACGTGCAGAACAGAGTGCCGGATGAAAAGTTATCTGAATTACTGTGGGTGTGTTCCCTATAAATATCCTAAGGGTAAGCGACCGGCGCAGAACGAACAATATCAAGACTACTATTTTACTTTATTTCAGACCGCCATTGTAATTTAAAATGTTCATCTGTTTCGTTTATAATAAAAATGACAATTTAACAACGTACATCCAAAATCCGAGAAAAATATAATTACTAGCCAAGACTTACTCTAAGGAAAAGAACTCTCTTTATATTCCACTAGTAAATAAGAGTTAATTTATTACTGGAAGAATTTTCACAGTAAAATGGAACCTATTTCATAAGTTGATACAATTTCCAGAGCCTGCATCATCTCGCTTCTGTGACTTCAAGGATTTGGAATGCTTGAACCATTTCAGAGGTTCGTTCTAATTATAACTTATTTAGATAAGATAGATAGGTAAGTTAATACTCTTGGTTCAACGTGTAACTCACAGTAAAATATAATCATAAAAAATAAGAAGACTACTGGCTAAAATTGTCACAGAATTTCTTTTCTGTAAGAATGGATATGATATTGACATGCTATATTTATTGATTTGTTTTTTGGGTCAACTCCATGTAACATGCTATATGAATAGTGAATAATTGTATATTAAATAAGAACCTCAATGACCTCGGCCTTCCTAGCAAAAGGCTCGCGCCTGGAACGATGCGACCCGCTCTGCTACTTCGAGTGTCGTGATCAGAGATACAGCATCACCGGTGACGTCACGCCTCTGCTGGCCGAACTGTACCCTTCTAACGTAATGTAAGCTTAAACATATACTTTGTTTATCAATAACCTCATCTACACAATATTAATATGATTATATTGTTGAACATATAAGTGACATAACAGTGAAAAAGTAACGTTATATTGGTATAGACCAACAGCATATTTGAAACCTGAAATCAGTAAATTAGGTATTTTCTGCACATATTTTTGCCGCTTTGTATGGGCCATGATTTCGTGTGCTTTTATCCCGTGTCGTAAGTGAAACAGCGTATACTATACATATTTCCTTATGCAAACATAGAACACACAAAGCTGACAATCGAATGACTAACTACATGAAATAGGATACACCTGCTATAGCGTACGTGAAAATTTAATTTCGATATTTCATGTCTACTTCTGTTTTATTTTTAATTAGTATTATTGTTCACTATACAAACTTAGAATATTTTAAAAATTGTGACACAGTACAATTAGTTTAAGCAGAGAGCGAAACGATGAAATGTGACATTACAGTACTGACATAAGTTTTGTTCGATCGAGCCAACGCGTAGAGTGGAAGTCACGGCTTGAGCTTTTCGATAAGACATTTTCTAGTCTATTTCACGACAATCAAGAAATTCCGAGAAAAAGTACTGACTGTTGCATTTTAATACTTACTGTCGGAATCAAACTCTCTATACTCGACCAAAGCTAAGACAACTGTTCTTTCATTCTTAATAGCAAGAATTCTCATTTCTGACCCATTTCGCTTTTTTCTGTGTTTCGCGTCTGGTTAGACCGAGAGAAACACGAATGAATATAATCTTAAATATGAGATTAATCAAGAGGTCGCCGTATTTCCTTAGTACTCCACAACTGACAGGTCCATTGACGCTCATTTCAGGAGCGGACACAATCTGAGCGAGCTGTCGTCCCTCAGAGTCTACTTTGACAAGCCCACGTGCAATTGCTACAAGCAGATGCTGCTGATGGACTTCACTACCTTCGTTGGTATACTGAAACTCGAACCTCGAAACCTTTTACTAAAAATAGTATTATCTCGCAAGTTTTTAATGTACAAGCGATTCCTAATGAAGTTCTAAACGTGCCTGGTACAAGGCTATCTTTTCGATACTATGGCTACATTTCTGAAATAACCTGAAATAATAAAGATCTTTTAACAATGGATAGAAGTCTAGCGCTGCTGGTAAAATCACAACTAAAATTGTTGTTTAGGGTTTTTTGAGAATATAACACTAAAAAGTTAAAGTTTACATGCATAACAGTTACATGTTTCTTTTCAGCGACATACGGCGGTATCTTCTCCCTCAGCTTCGGTGCATCTGTTTTGACAATATTTGAAATTGTCTACCATTGTATGTCTTTAATGTTTCGATATTTCTATAAAGGTAATAAATAGATACTCATTAGGAAAATATTACGGAGTTTTAATTTGTACCGATGATTAACTTTGATGACGTTAAGAAATATATCGACGAAAGAAAAAGTTATCACACTATTATTAGTTATTAATTTTATTTTAAACGAGTCGAATGGAATCTTTAGGAAGAGCAAGAAAATACATTAAATAGTAAAAATTAAATCGTTCCAAATTTAATCAGCGCTCTACAGAGAGCGATGAACCGTTTTAATGGTAGCGCTATGAACTTTGAACAAAGCAACGAGCAAACTCAATTGTATTGTAATAAGTAATTAGTTTATACCGATTTCATTGGATTGAATCGAAGGAAATCGGAATTCTGTTCATATTAACGAGCTGTAGCGATGGGCTGTGCGCCTTTAATTAAAAGCGAAGAAAGTTTTCGGATCAAAAGCTCCAATTAATGTCTCCGAAGACAACCTTATTAGAGTAAAACTTCATTTGTCCCTGTAGCTTATTTATTTCAGTTTTCGTTACAATGTTTACAGCCTTTGCATAATGTGATAATCTTATTATACTTTCGAAATCTCTACAATTTTTACATATAGTTTGAACTGGAGACCTTTTGCGTTCGTTATACAGGGCGTATATTTTTCAATCTTTGAGGTAGGAAAATTTAAGTTCTTAAGAATAAAATTTACCGATAACTTTTCTCTAGTTGTGTTCCAGTTTGGTTTAAGTGTCATAGTTAACACATAATTTTATGCGATTGAATGAAAAGTACATACTGTATCACTGTAAGTCTAAATGGCCGTGACGTTGAAGCATTTCTAGGGACAGAGCGTGCGCTGGCGCGGTCCGACGCGACGATCGCGTGACGTTGCTTAGCTGTGTGTTTGTGTTCGCGCGGGGCTCCACTCGCGCGCACTGAGCCGCATCGCCACATCTGCCTCCGCGCAGCGCCTGGCCGTTGTAGCGTAGCGAATTCATCTAGAAGCCATAACTATACCTTTACCTAATTTTAACTGAAAAAACGGATGAAATATTTTTTGCATGTAATATCATATACATACAATTACAAGTCCTATTACCCTTACTCAACTTCCTCAGCTTAGCAGTTATTTTATTTTCATAAACAGTATGCATTTTACTCCTGTTAACATTTCTGAAAAAACCCCTTTCCATTAAAACATTAATAGAACAGATGTTCAGGAGATGTTTAATAGATTAGAAACTGCTCTACGATGGTCTGAAGCGAAATATTCCCCAAGTTATCAGCAACATCCTACATGCGCTCTCAACCACTCTGTTCATAGACATTCTCGAAAACATATACTTGGCCCGCTGGGATGATCTGAAAAGTTCAGTTGACACAGATTGATAAGGCACAAGACCGACTAAACTGGCGAACCAGAAGTCCTGTCAATTTCTCTAGTAAAACATAATAATTGAGTTTCTAATATAACCTAAACTAACTAACTAATCTAATTTATGTTTACTGTAATATTACTACTGTAAAACAACATTAAAAGGCTTATTATTATTTTTTAATTCCTGTAACTCACTTTTAAGCTAATATACGTACCGATTACACTTATAAGAAATATTATAAAAAAATATGCATGATTATTAAAAGATTAAATAAATAATCTCCTTTTACCGAAAACGCTCTTACAAGGAAACCGTTCATTTTTGTAAGGATCATGAAAAATTTATAGCACAAAATACTGAGCTATACTATTACATTTGGCAATGCACGAAACCCGGTGGTGCATTGTAATTACTAAACGAACTTAGCCTATTCACGCTCGTTACCAAACGAGGTTTGTTCACAAAGCGAAAGGAAGATTTTGGTATATATAAGCAAAAATGGTGCAATAAATATTTATGTAATATAATTTTGACATCTCTACTACATACTTACCTAGACACCTCTTTCCAATGTAAATAAATGAACTTCAACGCAAGAGAACAGCAGTAAACCGATGAGAAGGGAAGGAAAGGAACCGTCTTCGTCATCGGGCCCTAATTATAGTACCAAACTATCGAGCTGCGTCAAGTTCTTAATGAAAAAGATTTAAAATCAACTAAGGTAGCTGCTCGGAATCTGCGAGAAATTTCTTTATTCAATTGTAGTCCTTTAAAGTACTGATTAATAAAAAAAACTTCAACGCACAAGTTCCCCTCGTTTCCTCTGGTATGTGATAATTACATTGATTTTCAATAACCATTTATAATGGAACAAATCTTGTAAAAAAGAAATTATTCTTCTGAATTTATGCGCATTGCAAGAAGTCAACTTCTCAAATCGGTCAAAACACCGGAATAAAACCTACCATTTTTATTGCACCCGGAGCTAATGTATGACCGCTTATGCATTAAATGACTCGAATTGCTAGAAATGTTGTAAGTGCTCGGTTTTAACTCATTGTTCACATTCTATGTCAATATTTCTCTCGAGAAGAAAATACAAATTAATAAAGATATTAGGCATATCTATACTAATATTATAAAGGGGAAAGATTTGTATTTTTGTATGTAACGGATAAACTCAGAGTACTGGAGCGATTTCAATAATTATTTTTTCTTTAGAAAGATTCATTACCACTGAGTAACATTTGTAGTATTGTAGCTATTTGTAGTACTTGATTACTATAGGCATCTATAGAAATTCTTACTAAAACCAACGGAAGGCGTAAAAAAAATTACCGTAAAATGTCTTTCTTCGCATACGCTGCGAAAAGTATTAATGATAGGACAAAAAAAAATTTTCGACAATATTATAGAATATATTAATATCTACAAAAAACATATGTCTAACTATTGTAGTTACGTCGCTATAACTACTTTTTTACATTTAACAAATCAATAGAAATGCCGATCAAAATCAGAGCGTGTTATCCGTACCATTTACAAATGTATATCCAAATAAATAATTGAATATTCAAGACTGTCTCAATACATGATGATTACTTTTTTAATTATTGAAATCGGACATTACATTCAAAAGATATCATGAAATTTAAATAAAATACATGCCGGCGTCGGCCGCCACGCCACGCATTGAGTAACTAATTCAACGATAGAGGGGCAGCGGGCTCCTTATGCAGTTTGCGCGAACGACAATGAATATTTCGACTTTTTTTAAACATTTTTATGCTTCACTGAAACGTTCTTTTCAAAGCTATTTAGTTTTAGGAATCACACTTTGCATCATATTTGTCAGTTCTTTTCAGAACTATCGCTTTGAACTTGAATATTTTATTTTGTATTATTATTAGTTTATTCTTAATTTCTCTGATTTAAAATAAATATACATCATAGCAATATGGCTAGAAGAAGGTCGTAGTTATCTAAGAATAGTTCCCAAGCGAGATTAGCCAATTTTCGTCGTATGGTATGGAGAGTCTTCTTCCTAAAATGATCGTCTGGAAAGTATTAGAGAGGTGCGTCTCAATCGCGAGCCAGAGAATCTATCGTCGAATGTTCAGGTTCGTTTTGCAGAACAAAATGCAAGATCGTCGCAGCGACTTGAAGGAACTAGAACTAGAAAGTCGCGAACGCGTGCATGGGACACTAATACTGAACGCTCGCAGCGGCTCCTGAACCAGCGAGATAGACCACGGTCGTTAACAGAGAGAACGCGCAATACAATTTTTTTCTAATTTAGTGATTCATGGCCGTTTTCATTTGCATGCTTCTAATTTAAATATCTGTACTTATTTATCTCTACCCGTGCGAAGCCGGGACAGGGCCGCTAGAATATAATAAACGGTTAAAAGTTAAGATACTTAATGGTTTAAAATTATAAAAAAACAGTTTATCTTTGCTAACTTTTCAGATAAAAGAACAAGTCAAAGCGTGCAAATCAGTTGATAACTTCTTTTACCTGTAAATAACACCTTTTATGAGGTTCATGATACAATTCGTAGTCGCTGGAGGACCCCTCCGGCTTCCGCGTACATCGCCACTGCAGAGAAACTAACTGTTAATTCTTGAATATTGAGTTGCTTTTTGTAATATTTCAGATTCAATAATTACCTAGCTAAATATTTAAATGTTTACATGTGTATACAAGAATAGTTAACAATTTCCCGGTGTTTCAAATTTTAGATTTTTAGATTTAGTATTTTAGATGTCTCAAGATCAAATTCAGCGTACGCTTAAATATGAAAATAGTACCTCACCGTGAATTTAGTCTGTTGACAAACGCCTCGACCGCAAACCATCTTCCTCACAGACCGTTGGAAGTTGCGCGTCATCAAGCAATACACGACTGGATTGATGGCGGAGTTCGCGTGACCTGGAAACTCTGGAGTCAGTGAGACACCTCTCGGGATGCCGCTTGCACTTGTGAGAATGCGAATTTTTCTTTATAGGATTTTTCACAATCGCAACGATATACATAATATGTACTTTTGTACCTTTTCATGTGAGTACTTTAACCGAGTCTATGGATTAAGCTATTGATTAATGTTTTAAATATTTGAGCAAGCTCCGTAAACCTACCGTGTACACAAATAGCAGTAATGGTAACAGTCAAATAAAATTATATCCGAAACAAATAAGTATATGATAAACAGAACTCCGAGCTCATTTGAAATGCATTAAACGTTTAGACTGAACGAATTAGTTACACAACATTCAACAATAGTCCAAAGGTTTCCCCCCTTCCCCACTGGTTTGATAAGGGTCGTCCGTGTAAAGCATTTTTGCACACAATAGCTGTGTAATGGTTATTCATGGGTATTAACGGACTAATTGTTGTCCGACAAAGGGTGAATCCTGCGTCACGAAAAACGAAAAGATCCATTTTATTAGACTCTGGGGAAAAGCGATTACTAAACAAATTATCGATATAAATTCAAGAGTCAGATAAGTTTTAAATAAATATTAACATATGAAATGTAATTAAATGAGAAGTTTCCAACAAAAAAACCATAAATTCTTTTAACCCTTATTAGCTGCCGATGTACGGACAAACGCCCGAACAAATTTACTGTATTTTTATTATAATATTATTTTATAGCATAGCTAGCATAATTCTAAAGCTATGTCAACGTCGTGCTCACTTTAATGTTTATTTGAAAAGCAAATTTACAAGGTTAGCTTAGTGAGCGTCCTATTTTCCACTTTTCTTGTAGATTATCTTAAAACTTCCTATGATAGTTATCATAGGAAATAAATCAGTTGCACTACAGCACTCATTGGGTTTGGTCCCTTCGCCTCCCTCTTAATCTTAAACGTTATCGCAACATTTATCTAACAACTATCTTACATAACTATCTATCTACATTCACGTATACTTTCCAAACTGTTATAAGCAACAGTCTCTGGTACCCGAAACTCGGGAGTATACGTCTAAAGTGTTATACACTACATCCGGCTTTAACTGCCACCTCACGTGAAAATAGCAATTAAAGAAATTTATTTTATAGTCGAAGGATTCGTTTATCTTTTTCTAATGAACAACAATTTTAGTAAAAAGCATTTCAATGATGCGACAAACGTAAAAGGAAATTGAGATTTACAGTTACTTTAGGCGCTATTTATAACTCATGAAAGATAAGAAATATTTCAATAACTGACCAATGAAGAGCGCGTACGGTAGATACACGCTCAAATCCCTCGTCTCAAGAAGATTTATATCCAACAACAGTTGCAGAATGTTGTACGGCAGCCAACACAGAGCGAACAGTACAGCTAACAACAGCAAGATCCACGCCACCCGCTTCCTCTCCTTCATTAGTCTAAGGCCCTGAAATGGCTGACATTGTAAAGATCTTTTTATAGATAAAACATAAGAATTTAACACTTAAGCCGGAATTTTAATAACCACCATGTCTCCTCCGTCTACGATCGGTGTACAATATAATAATTAAATTCTTTCGGAAAATCTAGAAATTTCAACGTTCTAAACTCTAATCTGGTTTAATTTAATTTCAAAATGTTATAATAATAATCGCATACCATATTTCCAAAATCAAAATTATTTCCCGAACTTACGGAACGAAACTTCTTGTTGGCGTTTACCTAGTGGAGCTTAGCAGTAAAGTGCTATTATCTAATACCAGCAATGGTGTAATAATGGTTTACTTACAACATGATCTAGTGCCTACTGCTTTATATGATTATACGTTGTGTATGTGTTACCGGCCAAACCCGATTTCAGGACAAACTAGTTTTGCCTAGGCTAAACTAGTTCTTCCTATACGCGATAGGATAAACCAGTTTAGGTTAGTTCAAACTAATTTGTCCTAAGCACGATAGGATAGACCAGTTTAGGCTAGGCCAAACTAGTTGATCCTGATGTAAATATGCACACACTAGGATAAACTGGTATGTCCACTGCTGTTCGTAGCGAAATGACTACTACGTGCTTAAAGCAATGAGAAGTATACTATCGAACGACAAATTAAGCGAAGCTTTCATATTAAAATCTTACATTGTACTGACATAAACAGGTCAAAACATAGAAATATTTTATTTCTTGTTATGTGCCGGCCCTAAGCTGCACTTTATTAGGCGACAGCCCTAAGTTGTGCCACTACGGGGAAACTGCTGATAGTGCGCGTATTCGATACCCGTGCGATCGCTATGTGACGCTACTGTTGCCGTACCCATTTTAGCATAAGATATTAATTAGAATTATTGTAAGAGTCGACCTGATGCATCGTGCACAGGAAGACAAGTAGGATTAATTAAATGTAATACTTTTAATTAAATTTATTTTTATGTAAATGAGTTTTTTGCAACCACCGGTGGCGGCTAACATAATTTTCTTAAACATGCAAATTATTTTGACAACATTTAAGGTAATTGTACGGACAAACATCCATACAAATTTACTATATTTTTATAATAATATTATTTTATAGCATAGCTAGCATAATTCTCACGTTCAGCGTCGTGCTCACATCAATGTTTTTATTAAAAGCAAATTTACAAGGTTAGCTTAATAAGCATCCTACTTTCCTGCTTTCTTGTAAATTATATTTAAGCGATATTAATAGGAAATAAATCAGTAGCACTACAGCACTCATTGGGTTTGGTTATTTCGCCTCCCTCTTAACCTTTAAGCTGTTAACTCTACAGCATAGCATTAGCAATTACAAGCACGTATACTTTTCGGAACTGTTCTCCATTACAGTCTCTGGTACCCGAAACTCGGGAGTATACGCTAAACTGTTATACACTACAGTAATTATTATTATTAAATAAATTACCGAATGCAAAATTATTGTTGTCAAGTAAGTAAGAAATGAAACGGTATGGAACGATTGGTGAAAAGTACTATACAAGTCGTGACTGCAACTTAGCATTGATGGACCATCGATGCCTTTTGCCGTTACAGCAATGTAATAAGTACATGCAAAATTAACATGCGTTTTCTGACAAAAAATGGCTTTAACTGGGACTCACCTGCTGCATACTGGCATTTCCCTCGTCAATGTCGAACGGTGGTCTCACCGAGCAGAGAGTGCGACCCATACAGGCGTAAGACAATATCGTGATCGATCCTGGACAAAAAAAATACTCATTCAATTTAAGATGGGCTCGTGGACTCGAATTAACGACGAAAGCCGTGTTGTATATTACATTTTCATTCGTTCTTAATCGATATTTAACGTGAGAATCCCAGGGGACTGAACATTCACACAATAAAAACGATAAAACAAAGCTTTAAAGTAAGATTTCGCCTCCGAGTGCCCATGATGTAGCATAATCTAGAAATAGACGGCACGCGGCACATAGAAGTCATATATTACGGTCGAGGGATTAGTACCTGGAACAGCGTACACCAGAAGGAAGCTGAAGGTTCCAAACCTCTTCCTGGACACCGAGCTGGGCCATTCCTCCGTGCAGAAGTGGACCTCTCTCGTTTCTATCTGAAACCGTTCTCTTATTTACTATCCACTCTATTATACACCTTCGTTTGAAAATTATGCTCTTATTGAAAAGAAAAGTCCTTTAGCTTGTGTCCGTCAATAGTATTGTACACTAACTGGGTCGGTTAAATGCAACTTTTCATTATTGTTCGGATGCACTAAGAAATAAGAAGGTCGAACTAAAAGGGGCAAAGTTACGAATAAGGCGATAAAAATTATAAATGTAACCGAGTAGTAATAATTATAGTCTGTGCATCATGGGTGCACAATGGTGGTTACTAATTAAAACCGGAAAGCAAATCAAAGAAGCGCAACAGAAAGCTTGTAATACAGATCCCATACCGATATGTTAAGATAGGTCTGCGATATAACAGGCACGGCTTCCTTTCTGACGGATGCGACCGAGAGAAGTGGAATAAAGATAAATGCAGCCAGCACCCAGATGAGGCAGAGGAGCATCAGCGCTTGCTTCCGACCCGGAGGGCGTAGTCTGGGCTCCGGTGCTATGGAGAGCCATCGGTCCACAGACATCGCCGTGAGGGTGAACACGCTGGCCGCCACTGCAACACCTGCTTACCGATATATTCAAAGAATCGATAGTTACACCGTCTACTACGTCTCACTTTACGACACTAATATTCTACGATAGTGATGTGTTACGATTTTATATGTTATTTGACGTTTTGCTTCTACCATATTACTTCCTTTCGTCTATTAAATTTTATTTATTCGAAAAGAACATTTTACAAAGAATATTATTTGATAGTCTATAGATATTAAAACTAGTTTATTCATCCTATTTTGTGTTAAATGGTGTTGGAGATGCATTTATAGTTTTCAGCGATAACATATTGTATTGCACTCCACTTCAGCATTTGTAGATAGCCTTTTTTAATGTGCTTTTACGATAAGTTATTAGAGTTCAAGTAAGAATTATTTCTTGAAATGAATAGTTTCAAACAGTTGATTAAAGTGAAGACTAATTTATCCTTCAACACCGGTTTTTACCCACCCTGTATGTAGTTAACGATCTTGCAGACCGTCTCTCCGTAGTACCAGACGAGCGTGATGGCTTTGCTCAGCTGGATGGGCATGCACACACCAGTCACTAGCAGGTCGGCGGCAGACAGGTTCACCAAGAAGATGTTTGTGACGCTGCACGAATAGCTTTCATTAATCTCTTAATAATAAATCTCTCTTTGAATACAGCGATTTAAAACGTGAAGTACTAATTTAATTATGGATCAGTTACACCGAAAATAGAACGACAACCCATACCCACACATTAGTTCGAATTCAATTTCAATGCAATCGAAAATAAATTGAAAAAAAAAGAGCAACAGCACGGAACGCTGACGATGCCGGTTCAAGTCCTGCCCGAGTCGAATTTAGTTTCGATTCGTAAACTTAGTTCTGTCAGATTCCGCCGCAGTGTTTCTATTGATATACCTCCAGTATGTACTGAATAGCGAATACCGATAGCAGCCTGTCCTCAATCGCATAGCGGCCAAATAAAGCGTAGCTTCTCCACCAATTAAGCTTTGTAGTCTTGGGATTACAAAAAAAACTAATACAATCAAATTACATTTTGTAATTGAGAGATTTTTTGGAAACATCGATAAATGGAAAGAAGTAGGCACTTTATAACTAAAGAATGTTACAATATGAAATTCGTGTCTCCTCGTCGTGCGAGAGTCAGACTCGCACTTTTTCCATAACATTAAATCAAACAACTGTGCCAAGGTGTAATAAAGACTTTGTTTAAATCGAAAAAGGCACGTCCGAATTGAATATATTCACTTTTCGACAGCTTTAATAAAAGTCGACAAACAAAAAACAACGACACGAGCATAACATGTATTTTAATCGATTGTTAATTAATAGTAACAGCTATGTTTAACCCCTCTTACAGTTCTTTCCCCGTAACCGTTCTTTAGTAGACTAATCACGAGGCTTTATAATACTATACTCTGAAGCGTCTTACGAATTATCTTTTGAGAGGAAATAATTGACCAAATTTGCACCTGACTCCCGGACTATAACCATGTCCGCGATTCTTTCGCATACAATTTTTGCAAACCACCTCTAAGAATCTATTTCATTATGAATAATTGTTCCTCTTATCCACGACATCGTCCGCGTCCCGTCGTTCTTGCGAGTTTATCCTAAAATATAGACAGACTGCCGCGAGCAAGTTTTTAGATTATTTAAAGAGGAATCATTTCTAAAAATCATTATTTTATTTATATATTAGTTATCTTGTACCGCTGATGATTAATTATTCCGTTTTTTTTTTACATTTCCCGCAGTTACTTCGTTCCTATTGGTTGCAGTATGATGTTTTATATCCTAAAGCCTTCCTCGATAAATGCTGTAACACAAAATAATAATGCAATTCAAATCAGTAATTTTTAAGATTAGCGCGTTCAAACAAACAAACTTTTCTGCTTTATAATATTAGTATAGTTATAATGCAGAATTCTATTCGGAGATTAGGTTACGTCGATTATTTAAGCGAAATTGAAGAACAAACTAACAATAACTTTAGTTTTTGAAATTCTTGTCTTTTGCCGCAAATGTAAATATCTATTTTCGGGATAACAGCACCGAACCCTCCTAATCCCGAGTAATCGCAAATCCAGTCATATTTGAACATCAATTTCGACAGATTGCGTCCCACGAGGCGCCTCATTCGTCTTCCTACATGTCTCTTTATAGTTTATTTTGAACATTACAAGCAAACAACACGATAAATCCGTTTATCCTGATTCGTGCATTATTATGTAGAAATAAGGTGCGAAAGTGTAGAATTTGCAATTAAAACAATACTCTACGTACACAGGTAACAGTTATTATAATCATACGTTAATAGACTCTCCAATACCTTTTCAGTTTTCTGAGAACAAAATGGAACGTAATTACACAGTTAACAGAAAACTCGTAAATGTGACAACTGGCGCTGAAAGGTCTCCGTTTCAGATGTTTTGAGCAGAATTTTCGTTTTATGGCGAACAAATTTTCATGTAATATTTACAGAGTTACATATTTTAAATTTAGGTGTTTCAAAGCGAGAATGCATCTCAGTTTTTTTGTTTAATGGAAGTCTCGATGTTTGTCAAAATTATACAACATTTGCTAGAAGCGCGTAAGTAATACTTAACAGGATATTTATTATAAAATTCAGGCAAACGCCTACTTTCTTCGACGACTCCGACAAAGAAAAACCGCGGTCGGTCGATTTCATGTTATGTCTCAAAATTAGGCGAACCCTGGTCAAAAAAGTGCTTTGTTGGCGATAAGCCGTCCACAAAAGTAATTCAAAGCCAAGCAACATGACTGAATAGTTAAAGCAAACAGAAATCACCTCTACATAGGTTAAGCACAAAGATTCATTTTCATCTCTTTTGTACTTTTCTTTCTCCAAATTTCGAAAACAACTAAATAAGATGGGCCTTATGAGCAAATAATTCTAGATTCGAACCCGCGCTCGCCGCAAAGTAGAATAGCGCTACAATACCACCACGTCGAGTAATTCATCAAAATTCTCCCCCGGGATGTGTCTCTTTATATTCGTATACTTTCGACCTATTACAAATTGTTGGCTCCTGGAGCTCGAATCGAGGGATTAAGGCGTTAGCTTCACTCTCGGGTGATTGATCCACCGGCTTTTTCAGAGACGTGGGCTTTTCTCAGCAGAGGGACCATTTATTACGTACCTGACGCTTAGATATATACATATAATTAGATTCAGCAACACTATGTTTCTCAAATATTATATTTGCCAATTATTCAAACTAGAAGTTATAAAGACGGCTCCTAAACAAAAAACCCTTGAAAACATTCGTTCATTCTGTTGTTATAAAAGAAATAAAGCTTTAGCTCTTTGAGTACAAAACTAAAAAGCAAGTCAACAATATATTATCATTGGCTAAGTGATTTTATATACCCCGACACAAAGGCTGGCTTCAAATCCGACAAAAAATAATCATTAAGCTTGAAACAAAAATTGCCCGAAAGGAACCTCTACATTGTTTAATAAAAAGGAATTAACTTGAGGTTTCGCGTTAATTAGGAGCTTAATACAATTAAATCAAGAGACGTTTTCATGTAATTACTTTTATCGAGATTAGAGGCGCCCATAGCTTTGCTTGCAAATATTTTTTTGGGAAATTATGACAAATTACAGAAAAAACGCCTCTGATCCGTTTCGCGTTGAAAGGTAAACGAGACCTAATGTGACTTGAAAAATGTTTCACACCCACTCGGATTATTTGTTTACTAGTATAATGGAACGATGGAACTCTCTTTATAATCATACTATTTTTTTTTGATAATATTAAAAACGAGGAATAAAAGGTCGGTGTCAATAATTTATTGTACGGCATAATTGATAAATAACATAAATGTTTACATCGCCGTTTAATACCATTAGATATGTAGAAAAACCTCTGCTTTGAACGCAACAAGCTATTTGAACACCGGATGCGATGTGTGTATCAATAAAAAGAACCTTTCAATGAACTTCAATGAAATAGCCGATTCTACAGCTTTTTGGCGTCATTTCAAAGTTTGCTGGCGCCGTTTCAAAACTCGTACATCTGTTACGAGAACGTTTGTCAAATAAAAATGATGTATTTCGTACTTTTCTTACAGAGAGTATTCGCTCAGCCGTGACGTGTCATTCCTATGCTAATGTCGCTCAGTTCAGTTTCAGGCTCTTCGTTTATAAAGAGTTTAGTTAAAGTTAAATAATTTGAAGCGATGAACGCAATCGAGTGGAACCACCGGAACAGATAGTTTCATGGCGGAGTTGACCAAGAAATTATTTGAAAAATACCCTTTACGGCCGAACATAAAAATATTTATGATCTCAATTAACGGCATCGAGAAAAATACGATTTAATAGTTCGTTTTTATATCACTGATTATATGATTACACATTCGTCCTAAGGCGAAGACGAACTATGGAAGAGGTCCGAGATCTTTAACACCGACTGAATCTGATTTTCCTTTTTCTGATGTCGGTTTATTGAAAATTAATGTCCTTCGCAGACCTTACGAATTGTAATCCGCTTGAGATTATTTTCTGCGATTCAAAGAGCCTTTGCTGCATGCTAGTTGTAAGAGGTTAAACGAGTATTGTGAAACTGGATTAAAGATTCTCAACATGCTTAGAACCGACGTCTGAAAAATCCTGTCCTATACTGATGGTAGACATCTCGTTAATAATTCATAAAGCTTTTATCTACGCACACAAATCCGAACTTTCTGGGCAAAAATGGGCAAACTGCTAATCCTAATTGGGGTTCATAAATTCGCCGCAATCGTCTTCTGTCGAGAGAAAACGAACGTATGTGTCCGTCTTCTCTACCATTAAAATATTAAGTAATAGAAAAGGTTTTTTATATATGCGAAAACTGAGCGCGGAGGCGTCGCTAACATCGGACTATCCGTACACCCACATACTCTAAAATAAGCATCAAAGACCCCTCGGTTCGTTTGACTTATCCATATTTATTTCCTGAAAGCAATACTTTAACATTTTGTGGTTCTTCGTGCGATACCCGAAATAAATCACAATTATTGTGTTAAGAACCGGCGTGAAATTTATGTATACAGCTTATATTTTAAATGGTATTGTTATATATTTAATAAATAAGTACTAAAAATGAACTTCAGCAAATTCAAATATATTTAGAATAATAAGACCGAAAAGGAGAAAACAATAAGGGACAACTATTCGCTCGCATTCCACACTAACACACTGTTTTCCTTATTTGGGTAATATTGTTATTTTGACGAGGGTTAGCCCTCGGCGTCCACTTACAGTATAATAAAACGATAATCTACCCCTTTCCCAAACTAAAACCTAATACAATAAATGTTGGTAAAAGACAGACACGTCTTACGTATGCTTAGCCAAGGGGGCAGAAATTGTACAACGGTCTCTTGCTCACTAGGCGAGTCGTAGCCAAGCTGAATTTCTATCACGATATAAAGCTAAAAAATAAAATAAAATATTACAAAAAAAATTGCAATATTTTGTCAAAATAATTACTACTTCATATATCCTATGCTCAAAAGTCTTTGCACTAACTCTTTTATGTAAATAATTATTTTAGTTTTACAATATCTGTATTTTATTTGTTTATGCAATAAAGTGTTTTATTATTTATTATTATTAAAAGTCTCTTCCGCATATCGTTATCGCACAGTTAGTAGTATTTTAAGTAGAAGACGAAAATAGGCTAATTGAGAATGCAAAGGAAAAACACGAGACGGAAACGGGGCTCATATGAACATGGTGGCGTATTGCAGCTTTTCACGTGAATGTTATGCACGAAGCCTTTTTATATTCGCATAAGATAACAGTATTCTTTTATTTATTGTAAAGACAGACAAACATCGGGTTACACTCGATGTATGGTGAAACTACCTAGCCATTTAAACAATATTTATTTCTAGTATAGAATTATTTGTTTTAATTTCATAGTACCAATGAAATTGATTAAAAACTTGTACGGTAATGATGATTTTAATATCCTGAATGGAATTATTTTTATGACTACTGTTACGCGGAGCCTGAGACAGCTAACCCGTCATCCAAGCCAAGCCAATGCAGGCCGCTATCCAGCTTGTTAGCAAACAACACTTGCCTACTAAACACTGCTCAAATTATATTTATGCATAATCTGAACTAATGATATGAAGCTGAAGAGTTGGTTAGTTTGTTTGAACGCGCTAATCTCAGGAACTACGGGTTCGAATTGGAAAATTTTGTGTTAGAGCATTTATCGAGAAAGGCTATAGGCTTTAAAATATCGTCCTGTAACTAATACAAGCGAGGATGCAGCGAGAAATGTGAGAAAAAGTTGTATTATATTCACGGAATTTTACATGTTTGGAAAATATTGAAACCGAGAATCTACATTATCAATAAAGGCGCGCATGTAATATCGAAACGTTTGTAAAATACAATGTTTTCCTTGTACATTGTCATAAATACCTAACAAATTCTCACGAAACTACATACACAATAGTATACATCCAATGCAAGACTTATTCAATCTTGTCACACTTTTCTTTATCATAATGCTGCACAAAACTGACACTGAACTAGGCCAGTGATTTATTTCGCAGTAGTAAGCCAAGTGAATGACAACTGCAATGCGTCATGGAGGAGAATGATTGACAAAGTACTTTTTACTGAATTTGGTTAGTTGATCTATCTACCGAGGAAGGCGTGTTTAACTTCGTACTTGTAGAGATTATGTTTGCTTCAAATACCGAAAAATCCATACTAATGTGTAAAGCTAAGGAGTTTGTTTGAACGCACTTAAATAGAAAAATTCTTTATCGTGTTGGTTAGAGCATTTTTCAAGAAAGGCTAAGAAAAACTAACTATTAAAACGAACAGCTTAATGTTTGTAGTTCCGAAGCGATCGCTGCTAAAACGGTTTCACGTACACATAAATTGATGTAATAAAGAACGATTCTGTTCAAATGATCTCAACATTAATATGTCCGCGACACTATACGTCCAGGTTTCAAGATAAACTTGCTAAACGACGTGGGTACCGGCTTAAATGTATAAGGAACAAGCAAACAAATTTGAACGGCCAAAATAAATATTCTACGTGGACGAAGTTCGCTAACTCAGTTAAAACAATAACGAGTTTTATTTACTTACGATTATTATTATATAATACTAGAAAAATTCTTTACTTAATTTCTCCTTTACAATTTATTGAACTGAACTTGTCTCGTAAAAACTGTCAGACTGTTCAGGACTCGTTCATTATTTGTTATTTCTTCATACAACTACTTCATATTAAACACGTCAAAACATAAAAAAGTGCTATTTCTTAAATGAGAATCTGAAACGAACCAGAGCTAGACTGAGAAACAGCAAAGAAGAGTCGAAAACTTACCTTTTCGTGTACTTGCACTTGACGGCGACGACTATCAGCAACACGTTGGTGATGAGCGATAGCAATATGAGCGGGACGTAGAGCGCTATCAGAACCACTTCCGGCTGAAAGAGGATGTCCAGCTCGGTGCCGAAGTTCAGCGAGTTCAGGTCCACGCTCGAGTTCAAAAGGTCGAGCAGCTCCGTCGTATTCATAATAGGTCACGGCCTGATCCGTTCGTTACTACTCGCCATATGTTGATGACAAATCGGTCACCGGTCAGACACTCCACTTAAAAACATCTTACGAAAATCTATAGTGGTTATGGCCCTTCACGTTTGGCAAATTTTTGTTAGCAATTAATTTTCACGGAAATCAACTTGTCAAGAAATTTTTCATTTCACTATTCAAATTATTCCGATATATTATATGAAGCGCAAGTTTCACATATTCTTTTGTATTGATGATAATACGAAACTAAGTATCAATAAGTTCACGCGTAAGATTGAAAATTTCAGCGCAATCGCCTCGCCCATTACCCTGAAAAGCGCAGCTCGACTGAATTGAATGAAAGCTTTTCCGCGCGCCAAGAGAGACTCACTCGCTAGAGCGAGACGGCGATACCGCACGCAGAAAATGTGCTCGCATGCCGTTTTGTTCACGGTCCATTTGAAAGCTAGAAATCTTGTATTTTTTAACTTGGCTTTGATAAACTTGAGTGTACAACGCGGTTCACATACCTAGTATTGACGGAATTTTTTGTTGGTCGTAGCTAAAGGCACACTTTTTACTCGTTGGGTTAGGTGAATTAAGCCATTGGATGTGGACTAATACATACTATGTCTGTGGACTAATTTCAAAATGTTACTTTTACTTTTTGGAAAGCTACTCGGCGAGACGTATTTTGCATGTTTGGTTTTTAATAGACAGTTTTTATAATTCGTCTTAATTAAATGTAATGAGTTTCGGTTGTTTAAACTGTAATAATTAAAAGAAAATTCTTGTACATATTGTGACTCTGATAAACAGAGCAAGCCACTGGGTATAATGGTGTACGTGAAATTAGTATTATTCCGCCTTCATATCCAAGAAACCGCCTCCGCATTTCAACAGAATATGCCTTTAATTGAAGACCACGATGATCCAAGGTTGAACGTTTTGTATAACGCAAAAACAAGTTATTATTTAAGAAACCGTACAGAACTTATGGTTTTATTCATAGAAAACCTGAAGAGCTTTCTTATCAAATGCCTACTCGTCCCAAACTAAATGACCCGCCGGGTTTGGGTCCATCCATCGGCCGTTTTAGTTACTTAGTTCAATTGAAACTAAACCAGACTCTAAAACGAAACTATACGTAACCCATTTCGCGTTTTAAAACGAAGTAGTTTTTTTCGTGTTAATGAAACCGCTAAAAGTACAAGTAAAGTAGTAACATATCGCCACTAATATCCTTTTTCATAAAAATAAACGTATTCCATCGTATAGTTCTGTATGTAGTGACAAGTGACAAGAGGGAAAATCTCGATTTAACTTTCAACGAGCATAATATGGCAAACCACAGTAAATACGTGTCTCACGTTCAGTGGTGGAGTCCCGTCTTATAATCACCATAATTGAGGCGCTTTTGTGTTGTAATCGGAAAATGGCGCCCAGATTTATCAGAATCTATTAACTCTCCAAGACGGGGCGCTATAATCACAAAAAGACCACAATATAAAATTAACACAACGTCGTCTCAGTGTGGGCAGACGTTTGACCGCCGTATCTAAAAACTGAACTACCCTCTAATATTAATATTTTATTACGAATAAACACACATCAGTTGCATACTAAGCATTACAGTAAAAAAGACACGTTTTGATGGCAGAAGTGTTCAAGTCTAAGTCCGTTAACTGACAATACTTAACAATTACGAATATATACCGTATTGTCTGTGACCAAATAAAACAATAACATTACTGTAACGTGTACAGGGTTAGGGTAAATTTAGTCTCTGAATACGATAATGATTAGCTCTAACTTATTGTGGTATTAAGACTTCGTTCAAGGATAGACAGTGTCAACATCATGAGTATTTAGTGATTGGCTCGTAAACCCAATAAACAAAATTGCTGTTCTCGTGACGTCATTTTCCTAACATGCGAGATGATTTTGCCGTGATATGGCTTAGAAAAATGTAAAGACCTAATAAATTTTCATATTGAAATATACGCTTTGATAAAATGAATAATTAATTCCCGTGTCAATATTGAGGTGCATTCCAATTCCAATAGAGGGCAGTTATCACAACTAGTGCCGAAGCGAATAGTATAAAGCAAAATAAGTAGGACACACTAGTATTAAGGTTCAAGCGTCGAATGCTGTTGAAACAATCCTAGAAAATAGGTAAATCATTTTACGGCAGCCTTCGTTCCTTATTTTGCTCTAAAATGACGTCGATTTGTTTCTTATTGTTTGGAAACAAATATAGCTATTATTTTAAAATCGGATGTATTCATGAGATGGAAAATTTGTAAACGTGTACTTAAGTATAGTTCATGTTAGCAAAACGTAACGTATTATTGTACAAATTACGCTGTCTTCAAACAGAAATAAAATATATAATTTCGGACTGTATTAGTTAGTAGTAGCATCTTCTAAATGTATAAAGGTCGTTGTTGTCACAAAACGGTAACAGATGTAGTATCGTAAGTTGAAAATATTTTCACCCAAAAGATTAAATGTAAACATGCAATTAATATTTTATCTTTATTTGAACATGTACATAAATAAATAAACAATCATAATATACATTTATCGAAGTTTAAGTTAAACGCATATAAGAAATGTTTTACATGAATTCAATCGAATAGAAAGCTCTTATCGTTAAAAAAGGCGTCACCGATAGATTTCGGTTTTACTATAGAATGCCCAAAAGATTAAATTGTTTCAACGCCTATAATGAACGGCATAATGTATAAAGTACTAAATGTAATTTTTATACAAATACAATTGAATTAAACCAATTCACTGACCTTTGTAAGAGAACCTACATCTTTGGCGCCATTCTTTCTTTCCTGATCGCAACGAGTCAGACCGCAACGCAACGCGACGTCACAGGATCGCCGACTAAATTAGAAGCGTAGACGCACAGGTTTCAACATGTGTCGAGCCTCGAAGGCAAGTACTACACCGACTGAACTAGGATAGTGTACACATCAATATTGTTATCGTTTTTTTTAGAACTGTATTGGAAAATAGATAAAATCTGATCTTGTTATTAAAATGAATCATCCATTTTAAATTAAAGAATATAAGAAAAGCACTGAACTTCTGAACAACAGTTGAATACTTCGCGGGCATTAAAACAATATCATGCATTTATAATAATTACTCGGTAACTGCTCTGTAATAAGTACTGAACCTTCCTCCTCTAAGTTGATTATTTACCTTCTAGTTATTCGAATCAAAGTGTTCAACAATTCAATTATACGCTATTTATGTCTATTAAATTGATGTTATCTACATTACGCTTTCACATTTCGCTCCGATCTTACTAAAAAAATGTTATTTTAAAATTTGATTACAGTTTCAATAAATAAGAATGATATATACATAATATGTTACAATTATTTTTTCTTGAGGCACTGAAAAGTTCAACGGTTCATTTGCTCTTGTCAACAACAAAAACAAAGGTTTAAGTTATTAATATTTACATATGTATATGAATATTTAGGACAGGTCAAAACTTCTACGTTTTTTGTCAACGATGAACCCTTTTACTCTTCAGTTGTACTAACTTTCATACTGCGTGTACTCACCACGTGCACGCATAGATTATATTTATATCGACACGGTGAAGCAACACACACGGCTGTCGTAAAACTATTCATTCATTTCATAAAACGCCAGTTACAAGAACTGTGGTGCCTGTCTCTCCTTCCAGGTTTCCCTGGATGCGCCGGTGTGTCTGCAGCCAGGTGCGCTCTGGACGTTGGAAGGTCTAGCCTGGTTATTGCTACTTCTCAGCGTCAGGGTGGTGTACGTTCGCACACTAGACGAGTTCGACTTTTGACGCATTCCTTGCATCTGGAATAAACCATTAAGGCGTCGTCATTGTGAGCTTCTAGTTTTCTACTGATTTCTTTCATTTTGCTTTGTGAAATTAGAATATCTCGTTCCCTACTAGCAGTGAGCATGTATGTAAAAAACATTTTGCTAAGAAGCAGGATTTTTAAATTATTCATTACTAGACATTTGATGGACACCGAAAACCTATCGACAATTGTAGTATTATTTTTAAGTAATTCTTCGTTACTTTGAAGGCAAGAGACAGAGAGGTGCTTATACAAATTAAAGTGTTAACTGTTTACCGCCAAGACTTACATGGAAATGAGTACTAGAGTGTATGTTACCAGGATCGTGGCAGAGCAGCTTCCGCAGAGATCGGCGGAAGTTGCGGGTCATCAGGCAGTAGACGATGGGGTTGATCGCAGAATTCGCGTGACCTGCGCACACGAGGCTCTTTAAACCGACCGCAGATTAGTGTAACGAACGAGATTATTACGTCACGTGCCTACCATTGTTATATGCACAATCTATATAAATATATAAAGCTGACGAGTTCGTTTGTTTGTATGTATGTTTGACCATGCTAATCCCAGGAACTACTGGTTCGAATTGAAAAATTATTATCGTATTATTTAGACCATTTATCGCGTCACATCACGTTGTAACTAATAGGAGCGAAGAAACAGCGGGAAATGTTGAAAAAACGGGGAAAATTATTCCTCTTACACGGTTACCGCATAAAATCCGTAACACTATATATGTCTCTTTTGAGATTAACTTGAAAGAACGACGGGACGAGACGCGACCGACGTCGTGAGTAAGCTTAAATTCGTAAAGATAATGTTGATGCCCAAAACAACTATTCTAGTATAAAATGTAACTAATAACCTGCTAGCAGCGTATAAGGCATAACGGTAGCCACCGTTTCCACCTCTACGGCATTGATGTCGAGCAGCAATTGCAGGATGTTGTATGGTAGCCAACAAAGCGCGAACAGCACGGCCAGCAACAATAAGATCCACGCAACTCGCTTCCTCTCACGAACCAACCGGAGCCGCTGTGAATAGAAATTATTAAAAAAATATATATATATATATAAGAGATCCAACGGATATCCGGTTACTATCCGGAATCCGGCCTACCCGGCTATTATTTTACTATCCGGCCGAATACCGAATAGTTCCGCACCATCCGGCCGGATACCGAATAGTGATTCTGTTTGGTACTTTGAAAAATGGTTAGTTAGTATGTATACTACAAAAAATTATAATTTGTTGTTGTTCTCTTGTATGAAGAATACAAATTATCAATATTCGTATATTAGTTTTACCGTAAGTGGTACGGTAAAACTTATCAAAAAGCCTCATTTGAAATAGTTAAGAAATCCTATGATCAGCATAAGCAATAATTGAAAAATATATAATTCGGTTAGATATTCTTTTTAGTTTGTGACATTTTACAGAAGTAAATCGTATTTTTAATAAAAAGCAGTACAGATAACATTTTTATTTTTGCCTCTTTACTGTTAATCGACGCCAAAAAACCGCTAACCTTAGAGATCACATAGAACTTTACAGAATTGAAGACATTCCAGTTTACTTAAAATGTCTTTCGAGGGATTACTGCTGTAGCTGTCGTTTCCGTTGATATCGGAAAAATAATGGAGAGAATAGAAGACAACAAGAAATTGAAAGTAAAAGTGAAAACCATCCGACAATTCCGAAGAGAATTGGTGATGGATAGCTATCATATTCACGCATTAGACTTTTACTCAACGAAAATCCATATGATGAACTGAAAACGTAGATTTAATAAGATTTTTATTGTTAAGTCAACGTTTGTTTTAAGACCCATGGAAATGAAATTGTTCGTAGCGTAATATTGTGCACGTAAAGACCTAAATCAAATTACAGATAACAGTCGCCGTATGTTTACTCAACGGATAATAAAAATGTTTGAAAGCTTCATTACTGAAGACGCAATAACAGTCACGCCCTCGTACGATGGGAGATTTTGCAACATTTTTACAGCGTACACGCAAAAATAATTATTTTTAATCAGTCATATTTTTGGTGAAAAATAAAAGGATTAGGGTCGGTAGTTACTCTTTTACGCAGACTTCTGATTAATTTTGACGAATACAAACACGATTTTTAATAGACGACTAAATGTTTTCATGCAACGTTTTGCGCTGAATTAATTTACACTTTCAGGAGTCGCGTAACAAACTGAAATTCAGGATAAAGATCAACTTCCAGAACCGCACACTTAATTTAACTTAATTTTAGACAAAGAGACTAAGCTTTTTGCTCTTCCAAGAAATGGGAGAAAATTTAAGAGGACGAAGTGAATGAAACCCGTGTCATTTTCGTATGCAAATAAATTTCATTAAAAGCCGACGTTGGATCGTGTTGACTAAGTTGGGCGACCCTATTACAGTCTTTGTTTAAAGAATACGGGCAACGATTTGGAGTGGGGTTTTTTAAGTTACATGTGAACCCGTTAAAGAATAAAGCAATAGGTATAACACTTGGTCTTCGGTGGACAATGACGGAAAGATAATTTTCACGTATTACTTTTATAATTATTTTTGGCAATAGAATCCCCTCTAAACCGAATACGATGCACGGTCAGGAATGGTTTATTTTTAAAAACATTGTTGGAATCCGTATAATAATTTCATTCTATTCAGTTTGTTGTTTTTATGTTTCCAAAGCACTTTTCATCAGTAACAAATGCACATAAACAAAATAATTCTTTACTAATAATAATGATGATCGCCAATCAAACGTAACGAAGAGGGAGGATGTTCCCTCAAGTTGTTTATATTGAAAACCGGCAACACCATTACTTATTCATAATGCCAAACTTGCCAAGTGTAAGGAAACTTGTGTGTTCCCATTGACCCCTAAATATTACCCTTGAACTGAATAGATAATGTTACTTAAATGTAATACTTAAAGATGGTACCTGCTGGCTATTCGCACTGCCCTCTGCCTGATCAAAAGGTGGCAACACTGAACAGAGTCGCCGACCCATCAGCGAGTATGATATCACTACAATGCAACCTGTAAAAGAAAAATTTAATAAGCACATAAGATTTTATACACTTGTAAAATAATGACTGGTGATTTTACAGTTGAAGTGGGGACAATCCAAAGCGAGTTCTTGTTATCAGTGCAAGTTCAGGCACCTGGCTCAGGATAATAAGGTTATTACCTTAGCAGAAGGTATCTACATGGAGCTACTTTTATCTTATTTATCTGCTTTTCAATAAGTCTTAATAAGAGTTCATTGAAACAAAAATACAGCCTCTGCACCCCCTCAAAGCGAATTATTATATTTGAAACAACAAACGTATCGATTTAATACAATCTTGGATATATTCATAAAACACAATTCATAGAATTTATATTCAAGTTTCAATTCTTACTTTTTGAAGTGAATTATGATTTGCAACTTGTTTTAACAGCTGGAGGGCTTCGGCCGGACGAGAGCTTGGGTCAACGCTCAAAGTCTTCGGCGAGGAGCCATCAATTTGCGATTTATTCTTTAACGTATCATTTACGTACTTGAACTTTATACAGTTGAATGTTAAGCTATTTGTACTTAAAAATACTAATGGAAACAGTAATGTATACCAAATAAAGCAAGTAGTACAGAAAAGAACTTACTTCCACATAAATGTTTCCTATTAGATAGATCAAACAATTAAATGTTATTCATTATAGTTACTCTCAGTTTAACCCTTAAAAATCAAACAAAAACGTTTAAAAACGGTTCACAAGCAAATTATCTTTAAATTATTTGTTCAGTCGTAGAGGTTATTTTGAATACAAAACAACTTTTCTGGCTTTCACATTCCAAAAAAACTTGTAATATTATAGTACATTATGATATAAGTACGGTAAGTCGAAAATTACAGCCGAGGCGATATTACTATAAGAAAGCAGAGGCTGTAATTTTCAAAGCACACGTATGTCATAACGACGTCTTATAACATATTTACGAGGAAATGAATAAATTTATCACTACTTGACGACATTTTCAAATAAAAACAATACAGATACAGCGAAAAGAAAAAGCGCGCGGAATTATTTTTACTTGTCCACAAATAAGCGATGCGCGCGCATTAACGTTTTTCTTTTTAGGCAAAAGTACAAAAACAGCCAGTATAAAGTAAATTAATATTTTTTGTTACAGATAAATGGTTGTTATTTATTGTCAAAATCCTTTAAATTAAATGTTTATTTGTCATATTTTATTTCCCAAAGTTTATTTTTTTATTCATAAAATATTGACCACTTTCTTGACATTAAATCTCTTTGCTAAGATTTTTAAAAGGATCGTTCATTTTTAGACGGAGTATCTTAAAACATTAATTTATTTAAAAAAAACACGTACGTAATGAGATACATAACGATATTGAAATTGGTGTAATTACAACCACTTTACGAGCAAATATGTTATAAAATAAGTAACACCTTTTCGAGTCCTTTTTGCGGATTTGATAATTATAAAAATATATAATACATATTAAAGTTTAGTATTTCAATAATAGTCATAATCATTACAATGTTATTTTTTTATATAAATTCAATCTCTTTAAGACATAGTAGGTATTGACTATTTTATGAAAAAGTTGTTCGTAACATGTTGTGTGGTATTGTTTTAATGATTATCTTTTCATAAATGTTCACAGTAAAATTAAATTAATATAACCCTGATTGTTTTATTAAATGAACAAAGCTTAAATTGATTGGCGTCCAACTAGTGGCGCCATCTGTCGTAAGATTTTGTAAGACAAATGTAATTCATGTAAAATGAATCAATCATATGTAATTATGTAACATTCATAATAATATTAATTTAGAATATTCATCGATATTTTATATAGTAATTTCAATTATTTTGTTTTAAAGGAAGTCGAATTATAATTGTGGTAATTGTTAACGGTTGCCTATATTCCAAATTTATCCAATTTGTTGTAAAATACAAGTCAGGTCTAATTCTGGAATTCGTGCAAAAATAATCGATGCCGTATCGCCCACATATATTAATACAAGCAAACGAAGAGTCATCACCTCGAAGACGTCCATCTACGAAGCTCTAACAATTTGGACAAAGGGCTATGTAACAAACGAAGATATTTTTAGATAAAAATTGTGTAAGATGTCCAATTTTTTATTGTTTTATGTGAAAATTAGGATTTATATTAAAAAATAAACATAAGATAGACGCGAGTTATTAAATATCATCGAATTTTCAAAAAGTCCCACTTACGTATTTTCTTAAATACAATCGACTTGCTTGTAAAAATAATTTTGAAATGTAAGTATTCTATATATTATTTTAATTTCTATTTGAGACTCATTGTTAATAGTTTTATTTTTGAATGAAGAGTCCTTGGTTTTTATTTATTTAAGCGAAATCACAGATAATACACGATAAGATAAATGAGGCTGCTAAAGGCAGAGTGGCCTAATAACAAAAAATTATACAAAGTATGAAAATGCGTTTATACCATTGTTTGTGTAAAAATTAACACTTTTCGGTCACTGCTCTTGTAGTCATGCATAAATTACAGTTAGGCCTCAAATACGTAAGCAATATGCTACTCCTGAAAAACCAGGAAGATTTAGGTAAAGAAACCTGGACCAAATCCGGAATAAATCAAAAGCGGCTTTTTATCTAATGTGGGTTTCCAGTCAAATAGTAATCATTTGAAGAAGTATCAAACAATTCTTCCATTTTGACTCCAGAAAATAATTAGAGATGGAAAGTTTGAAAATAATTTTAAAGATCGCCCAAATCAAAAGTGATTTGAAACATTTGAGGCCGAAAATAAAGAATTCCAAGTAATTGTTAATAGGCTATATTTATTTTACAATATTTTCTTATAATTCTGCAACGTCGGTGGACTGAATGGTCAACGGATGGACGAATGAATTAGGGTTTCGTGGTGAGTGTAGGTACGGCTAATTCTGAAGTTTATCATTTAAAAGAATAGCAACGCACGGAACAAAGGTGAAAGTAAGTTTTTACATGGATAATATATTAACCACATTAAAGAAACTTGACATAGAAATAAGTGTTGGAACATTTTTATTATCGCCCAACTTTCCAACAGCAATAAATGGACGCGAACGGGCGTCCTTTCTCTTGGATGTTTTTTGTTTTTTTTTGTTTCAACATAACATATTCGTAATATAAGAATAAGGTTAAAGTAGAGTCGAAAAACGAAGGCCACACTCTTTCGCGATACAGGTTTGCGTGTAAAAAGGAACAGATGCTACACAAATTAGCATAGACACATCGTTTCCGTCCTGAAACCCGTCTGAAATAGGAAACCTAACTCACCCGGCACAGCGTACACCAGAATGAAACTGAAGACTCCGTACACATCTTTCCGGATAGAGTCGGGCCATTTTTCTGTACAGAACTGTACACTTTTCTCTACCAACATCTGGAATTCGAAGAACATCTTTTTTAAAATTGCCGTATAAAACGTAATATTTACAGCAAAAAGAAGGCCTCTCGATCAAATCTAACCCCGAATCAAATAGAAAACGTTCACAATATAGGTATATAATACAGACCCGAAACTACAGAGGTAAGTAAGTGTAACAAGAACTCTGATATTAACGTAATTCACGGGTTATAGCCAATATTAGCCTATCTGTCGTAGTCTAGATAAAAGCGACTCATTCGCATAATAAAATGAATCCAACAATGTATTGCCAATTTACAGTATTTTGTTATTGGCGTCGTACGTTTTTTATTGTCAATTAAGCCTACCTCTAAAGCCTCGCGGACTATTTCCATATGTATGGAATCGAGATGTTGCCCTTAAAACCCAAACGAGAACATACTCGCACTCTCTAAATGGAAATATGAAGACATTTCGCTCAGTCAATATAGAGTCAAACATTCGACGGACGCCTATAAAGTTTCAACAAATGATGCCAAATAATTTGACGATTCTTTGGTGGCATAATTTAAGAAGCTGCGGAATTTTGAAATACTAATATCGTGTGACCTGAAGGACTAATCAAAGCTAAGCTAGGTCGTTTCGGCTAGGTTACCAACTACGATGTTAATTGTTTTAATAATTTAAGTCTTCCATCTTATTAAAGTGGCATTTCAACTCGGCTGAACCGTGAAGAGGAAATACCCGCAATTATACGTTGATTAAGTGTCATTGGAGTTGGACGAAATCAAAATTAATTAAATCGGGAAACAATGTTGTAACTTCCTTTGAAAATCCCGATATCAGAATTAATGAACGACCCTTACTTAATTAACTGTAAGTCGAACGAAATAATGATTTTTATTTATAAATTGTCTGTGAAGACTGATTATAAATCGTCTCCAAGATACATGAACGAGACGAGGTCGAAGGTCGGTCATAATAAAACGTGATTTGAAATTTTAAGAAGCTGTAGAAACTAAAGCGAAACATACAGATTTATTGCTACATTGAATTTTGCAACTAAACAATATAGTGATTACATAGTGAAAAAAAATTGTTTAAAGTAACAACTATTAATATTGTGACAACGACAAACTTAAGAATAAAAAAATACGTAACGGGCAGCACTTGAACCAGCATCCACAGCGTACCGTGCTTTAATTAATGTTTTAGGACGTTTAGTAGACTGATTTTTATTACCATCAAGTGAAAAAAAAAAATTTCGTTTACCATGTTTTAAAGTAATTTTTCTTTTAAGTAGGAAAGTCACCGGAAATCAATTCAATTGAAAATGAAAGCGATATCCACCGTTAAGCCTGCCTTATTATACTGCGAACGGTGGGTAGGGACTACATTTGCGGGTCGTGACTTGCCACGTTAATTCCCCACCCTCTATTATTCGATTACCTCAGCGAAATGTCTTTTAAAATCGACACTTTAAATCCATATAAATTTTCTCTTTTTTGAACCGAATTTCATTTATTGAACAAAATGTTTAGATCGCCAAGATATACCTAGTACGTATATATCTCCGCTCGTAGTTTTCAATCCAATTTTAACTTTTCTTTATAAATATGTTGAAAAAGGACTTTAAGACTCTACAGTCCTCGACTGTAGTTTAGGTTTGCTTCGAAATTTAATGACGAGTCATAAAACCGTCTCAACTTAATAAAACAGGACCTTAAATATTCGCACAACAAAGGGATATTATATTAAATGCTGCTCAATATAACAATTGGATATTGTTACCGAAGAGTTCTCAGCAGAAACGAGCACAGGAACGTCCTCCTTTTCCACCACAGCCACGGCCAGAAGAGGCGCAAAAATCGCGAACGAAACGAGCCACATCGCGACGAGCAGCGCGCACGCGCCGCGCCTCGAAGGTAGCCACGGAGCCCTCAGCGACTGCGTGATCGCTAAGTAGCGGTCCACGGACATCGCTGTAATCGTGAACACACTGGACGACACCGCTACTCCTGCGCAAACGTAGAACGAACGTTACATATAAATCAATGATAAAAGAGTATTTAAATTTGACCCAAAGTCACCAAGTTATAACAAATGCTAAAGCATTCCTCGTAAGTCACAATAACGTCTATAAAAGACCATCACTCGACTTTTCACTATCAAATCTCGCAGTACACGCGGTGGGCACGTGTGCTTACGGCTGCAGGACACGTCGCTCATTGTTATTCGTTATTTTAAAGCACGCCTTGCACGCTAGACGTGCGCTCGTGTACGAACAGACGATTTAGAGCCACGCCCACCTCGTCCGGTACAGGCGTCACCCACTTTCTGTCCCGTGCTGTTGAAAATCGAATTTGCGACACCGACTCCAAACACGTTTTAAAAACGTTTGATACGGTCTAATTTATTTCCGCTCTCTTTAGATTTTAAACCGATTGAATATAACTTAACGATTAGTAATTGATGATTGAGATGATTATTGAATCAGTACGGTTAATTCGTTCTTTGTCTTATGACGTCGATACCTACCTAATATTTATTTATTTAATTATAAACATATTCTACCATTACAGAAAAAAAATCCATTGCGATAGACTTATTATATACAAATTTCAAAGAGTGATTTTTTTGTCAATTCACCCAAGCTGCACGTAAAAATGTCGATCCCTCTTGCAGCTTATTGATAACACGCGTAGCACGGACGAGAGGGAATTTTATCAGCAAGTTGGTACGTGAGTACGGCAACGCAAGTAACGGTGGTCGTAATCGCCTCCACACGTATCGGTCCGGTACTGACAAGTGTAAGGACTGTAGAACTCCTGGGTTCAACTCTCGACCCCGCAATACCTTTACCCGATATATCACAAGGAATAAGTCCCTCCGTACCTTCAATACATTGTACCCGACCATGCATAATATATAAAGACTCGGATACAGTAAAGGATACAATGGATATACTCCATACATTTTATGGTACAAATGCCTAAAAAAATTATTTTGGATGCGATCCAGCATTACTTTGTATTTTTCTTCGGCCGTTAAATGGTTTCGCTCCAGTGCGTCATACTGCATACTGCATACAGTACCCGCGTACTCAGTAATAACTAATATCTGAGTTCTAAGCGATTGCGGCGTAAAATTGTTTTATTTGTAAATATATTTTTAGTATTGAGTATCACAGGTGATGTAAATTATATTATTTCAATAATAATAGATATGTCATCAATCACATTTCAGTCGGTCAGTCCTAAGCCTGTTAAAAATTCGAAGGGACTATTCAGTGCCATCTAAAAGATTATTTTTTCCGGAACCCTCGAAATGCGGAAACATTCTAAATTAACACTCGTCCCTTGTCGTTTTAAAGTTAGGCGAAATTAATTCTACCCCAATTTCATTTTTACAAATTTTTTTTCAAAGTTATCGAAGCGGTGTTTGATTTCGAAGTCTCATCAATTTGAATAGAAAAGTAATGAAAAGACAATGTTTACGGTTTAGTTAAGGTTCATTCAGATAGAAAAATAGCGTCCCCTTAATATAATGTTACGTTATCTTGACTTTATACCTACAACTACTACTTTGTAGAATACAATACCTATATTTAAAACCGGAGTATTTTTCACCGCATTTGGTGGGCTTTAGAAACAACAGTAAAGATATTAAAGTTTCGCTACCTTGCAGAAAGTTGACAGTCTTGCACATGACCTCTCCGAAGTGCCAGAGCAGCGTGACGGCCTTGGAGATCTGGACCGGCATGCAAAACAGCGTCACCAGTAGATCCGCTACAGACAGGTTCACCAGGAAGATGTTTGTGACGCTGCAAGACGAATGAATGGAAACTCATTTATTATTTTCTATCCAATATTAAGAGGTAGGTAGCTGTAGAAATATCTAACAAACAAAAAAAAAGTAAAATCTTAATATAATAAACTCAAAATGTCATATTACTTCATTAATTATATACCTATTTACCCTTTTGTCGTTAAATTGAGTTTTCTTAATGTGATGTTAAAATATCTAAATTTTATTTATTTTTTATGTCTTTATCATACATATTTTTTCTTCATTGTGCAATCTTTTATTGGCTTACGTTAATAGCTATATGAATACCTAATACACGACAAACAATAGCTCGCTTTTACAAAAAACGTGACACTATCAAACCTATCTAACCAATTAAATAAAACACTTTAACGGTTTAAAACGCGATATATTAGTTAAACTTATTTGAAAATGATTTTTAACTTCGGCCCGACGTTTTGGATGCTTTGCAGCAGCCGTGGTCACGGGGAGACAGTATCTATCTAACCAATTCAAACAGCTAGCGTAACTGTGACAAAACCTTTTTAATTAGTAGGTAAATAGTGCCTTTATGTGCAATAACGTAAAAAAGAATAAAGTTTTCAACTACATTAGTTCTTGCCTTGTATCCAAAGTAGGTACCTACTGATCGTTTTATCATTCGTGTCGTTTGTGACATATTACGTTCATCGGGAATCTACTACTTCTACTACTCGTGTTGCGTGGTTGTATTTTCTTCATAATCAAATTATATAAGAAGGGCTTTTTTAGAGAAGTCCTGAAAACTTCAGCACAAAAGTTAAGAGAATTACTTACTTCTTAATTCAATTAGCCATTTTCCAGAAAATAAAAGTCCCACAGCGTTCGAAATGTGAAGTCGGTAGACGCAACAGATTATTTTGGGAGGTTTCATACGGTTCAAGTAATTGGAAAATTATATAAGAGTAACGAAGGTTGAAGCGTAGCATATTTCTGATTATTTTTACTTTATTATTTTAATTAAAAATGGAGGAGGTGTCTCGTCTCTCCTACCTTCAGAATAGAGCATCTGTAACGTTTGTGTCTCTTTTAAAAATCGATTTCAATTTACTTTCCTGAAGCCTGCCTTTAGAAAGCTTTTTTCTTAGTCATTCCCCTGTTGGTATGTGAAGCAATTTATTCTAAACAAAAAAGGAATTGTTTAATTCACACTAAATTTTATATATATAACACTAGTTGTGCCCGCGACTTCGTCCGCGTGTAATAGTTATTTTAGGCAATGTATTTTCAGCTTTATAAATTCTGACTGTGACATATACTCGGACATATTTGTAGATCATTTAGAAATGGAATGAACCCTCAATGATGATTAAATTTTCCGGTTTAATTTTTTTTCAAATTTCCCACTGTTTTTTTGCTCCTATCTATTGCAACATAATGTTATGTAGCCTAATGTCCTTCCTCGATAAATGGTATAGGTATTCAACATAAAAAAATATACACAAACAAACCGACTGTTCAACTTTATAATATTACTATAGATAGGACCTAGTTAAGCTTTATTTTCATTTGAAACTTTTTATTTTATTAACTACATAGTATTTGGTATTTCCCAAAGTATTAATTGGGTCTCCCTCTTAGTACTAACGATGCGTACACGACGAGGGTCATTTCACTTTAGTCTGTCGTTAACTTGAAATTATTACTTTAGTATCAGTGACTTTGACTGTGAGTCGGGTATTGGGTATAGACCTGGATATGATATGGCTAATCCAGCCAGGGTGGCGTGACATTCGCTCAAACGTAGAACGTAAATGGTTAAGATTTATCGGCGGATATAGTCACTTTCGGGAAAAATCGACAGCAAGAAAGCAAACCAAAAATTAATACTTTTGAAGTCCTACCTACGTTTTTATTATGTCGCCCCATATCATAAGACGCGTATTTTCCGGATTTACGATTGATTTGCCTGTACCGTGGCCTTAATATACGAACAGTAAGATAAGCCAAAGTTGTCTACATCCGCTAGTAATCAGCAACACCATTAAAAATCATGTGTGAAAAGTTCTATATCAACCGACAGGAAATACATCGCGTCGGTGATTTGTAAAACAAAATGGCCTCACAAAGTACCCAATGGGGCGTTTCTGTGTCAATTAATTGGAATAGTTGTAGTGTTTAACCAAATTAGGGAAGTTCGAATGAGGGGGGGGAAATTGCCATCGGTCGGTGTCCGTCCACAATCGAGAAGGACAGACTTGGCTTGGCTAGATGGATAACGGTTGCAAGATGCCGTTTAAGCAATGTACTTTTTAATTGCTTCGAATTCACTTGTCTGGGATCTATAATAGCACAATTTCGCGAATTGAAATCGACGCATCGTTAGCGACGTTGGACTCTTATTTACATTACCCCAGAATTTGTGAAACGGTAAACGAGTCGGATCAAAGAAGAAAAATATTAGCAGTTTCCGTCTAAGAGCTTTTAAGAAGAGAACAGCCGCTTAACAATAGGCCAGATAGGCAATACACAGCCGTTTCGACTCGCATTTATCTCCGCGGCCCTAGAAGAGAGGCATCTCAAGTGTTGATTCGAAATCAGTGGGAAAAATCCTCGCCGTTATATGTAATCCTAATTTTATTCACAATTTAGAATGAACACTTAATGTAGTTTCCATATAAATACGAATAATATGTCAGACACACTTTTGCGTATTGTCAAGCGACCCTTCTGCGTTAGGCGCCCGATTGGGCCGAATCGGTCGCGTGGGTTCCTTGTTTGCTTTCATTTTACGCGTGTTGACGTTGTGGCTTTATCTTTGGGAGATTTATTATTCCAAAGGCGTCGGACGATGGTCAGATAGAGAGCAAAATATAACGTTAGATTGTACAGTATGTGTATGTCGAAATATTGTGAATTGCAGATGACGCTTATATATATTTATATATTCGTATATTTATATATATTTATAGACACGACACATCAATCGAAGAATCAAGAATAAACAATAGGCTATAACCTCATGGAAAGCGCATTACAGCGTAATTTTTAAGGTCCTCAAAAAGATAATTATAGCGTACCGTCTGTAAACCTCGTAAAGGAAAAAACGAGTGGGGACCTCCGCAAGCAGTCACGTGTATGATAAGAAAAAACCATTTGGCAAGCGATCAAAATAGAAGCTGGATAATTTTACGCACGCCGCACAGACGGCTTCATTTCACGAATTAGTGAGTGGAGGATTTCTTTCAAATTCCACTTCAAGCTCCATTCTTGTTCGAAGGTTTCACTTGAGACTAAGTTTTGGTTTGTGTGTGTTAATAACAATAAACATTTTTAATAAATTTTTATTACCTTGTCAGCGGCGCACATGATAAGATTATTCTGGTTCATTCAACGCGACGTTATGTTCTATGCCGTGACTAAAAACCCGCCATATTTCATTCGGTTGCGAGCACTTAAATACACAAAACAATTATTGACGCTTTGTAAAAGCTGAAATTTACTGAAACTCGGCTCCAGCGGAGCAAGATCTTTTCTGTGCGTCTATGCTCTTAAGACTAGTCTAATCTAGGCTCTTAAAACAAACCATTTCTATTAATTTATCCTCTTCACCCGACTGCGTATGGAGAAAAGATGTATCCTTATTATTATCTAGAGCTACGATTACGATTGCCAAAATCTGTTCTCTCGATGAATAGTTTCGCTCGAGCAAGGCATAAAAGTGGAACGAACGCTGAAATAAGTCTTCCCCATGTAAGGCAAGATCTACTTCTTTAACCCATAGAATGGATTCAAATATTTTTTAGACTCAGAAAGACCTCGTCAGCCCTAAAGTCAATGCCCGCGTAATGATTCATCTTAAAAAAAAAAAAAAAAAAAAAAAAAAAAAAAAAAAATAAAAAAAAAAAAAAAAAAAAAAAAAAAAAAAAAAAAAAAAAAAAAAGAGGGGGGCGCCCCCGCCCCCCCCCCCCCCCCCCCCCCCCCCCCCCTCTCCCCCCCCCCGCCCCCCCCCCCCCCCCCCCCCCTTCCTTTTTTTTTTTTTTTTCCTCCCCCCCCCCCCCCCTCCCCCCCCCCCCCCCCCCTCTATAAAAAAGAGAGGGGGGGGGGGGGGGGGGGGGGGGGGGGGGGGGGGGGGGGGGGGGGGAGGAAAGAAAAAAAGGGGGGGGGGGGGGGGGGGGGGGGGGGGGGGGGGGGGGGGGGGGGGGGGGGGGGGCGGGGGGGGGGCGGGGCCGCCCCCCCCCCCGCGGGAAAAATTTTTTTTTTTTTTTTTTTTTTTTTTTTTTTTTTTTTTTTCTTGGGCAAAAAAAAAAAAAAAAAAAAAAATTTTTAAAAAAAAAAATATTTTTTTTTTTTTTTTTTTTTTTTTTTTTAAAAAAAAAAAAAAAAAAAAAACCGGACATAAAAAAAGGGGGGGGGAAAAAAAAAATTCCCGGGGGGGGGGGGGGGTAAAAAAAAAAAAAAAAAAAACGCGGGGGGGGGGGGGGGCCCGGGGGCCCAATGGGGAGAAAAAAAAACCGGGAAAAGCGCGGGGCCGGTTTCAAACCCTCCCCGAGTCAAAAAATTTTTCAATTTATTTTCGATTTTTAAATTATGATTCATCTTGTTCGTATTAATTTGTTCGTACTCGTGACGACACTCAGTCTGTTTGTTCGTTAATGAGCTTACTATGATTAGCTGCACCTCTCTGTTTGTCTGTCGCGACATTTTCATATTAATTATGTATGCTCAGGCACATAATCGCTTCATAATAATTTATTTTTATTGAATAGAAAACATGACTAAAGGTTACAAAAATGCCTCAGGCGTGGAACCTATACTGGCTTCGCCATTTCGATTTAACTCCATAGTTTTCGACCATTCGTACTGAAATAATATAAATAGGTAATCAAATGAACCGCTAATGATCTGCTAATCACGGAATAATATATCATGCACAGGTTACGGAGAAGTTTGTTTTAACAAAATATAAGTTGCGAGTTCGTAGCGAAGCGAAAGTTTCTTTAATGTTTCGGACCAAAGTTTTTAGTTTTTCTCTCGTTACTACAATGAATATACCACTACTTGCTTTCTGGTGCGACCTTCGTGTGTCAATATTTTAGTAGTTTCGAGTTCGGGTTTTTTTTCTTCTCTTATTTTCGCGTGTAAAGTATTTAGATGTACAATTTCCTCTAGAAGATTATAGTTAAATCTTCCATTATATATTAAAGTCTCACTAAACCGTTGCAATACAATCAGTAAAATAATAGCAGAACTATCAATTTTTTCGCACATCGGATTCACCAGCCCGCCCAATCGGCGCGGTGGATTACGGCAGACATCCATTTCGGAGGTCCGACGCTTCAACGGGACGTCGGAAAGGTGTTAAACAAATCTGTAAAATCAATTAAAACCCGCGTCGAGTTGGACGCGGAGTAATTTGATTTGGGAAATGACGTCCGTGATTTAAATTATTCTTGATAGACTCCAAATTGACAATATACCTAATAACATAAACATGGATCACTCTTTGAATTAGAATTCGCTATTACGGAAGGCCAAAGCTTGTTAAGTAAGTTTGCAATGTCCACCCTAAACTAGATCATTTTCAATAGATTTTACGTAAAATTTACTAACGTTAAATATTTTTAATGTGCAATGTTATAGTAAACCCGTACGACGTCTCGACCTCACTCCAGAGAACGTGGAGACAATCTGTAATAATTCCGTGGAAAATGTGTCCCGCCAATGAAGCGACGTGAGGCTGTTCCGCCCGCGGCGCCCGCCCGGGGCGATGCTCAAATAACTCGCTACACGTTAAATGATAAACAGATCGCGAACTATCGATTTGTCGGAATATAATGACGCAACGATCTAAATCTCTCTAAAAGCGTTTACAAACACTTCGCGGAGCATCCTCTCTCCTCGCGCTATTTATTCGACGACTCTCGAATTCTTTTACGAAAATAGCGCAATTACAGCGCAGGCCTCGATACCTTACGATTTTCGATGGTAACGCATTGTTACATCTTTTCGTGATAAGAGGAGAACAGACAATACTTGATGGTAGGTGAAATATCTTAGCCATACAGTATCCGAGCGAGATGCGCTGTCGGCCTATTTTGGCTTTGGATATTTGGAAATCCAAATGACAATGACAGAAACGCTATTAAACTTTAAATAGGCTTTAAATCTGTGGACGCGATTTTCGAAGTTCCCACCGCTTATTTAATATTCAGATTTCCAGACTAAGTCAAAACTAAAATATAAATTAATCAAAAAAAAAACTGAACCCGGGGGGGATGGAACTCGCGACCCCTTGATATTATAAGCCACACACTGCTATCACACCGACGAGCTCGTCTTTCTATCTACATCACTTTAATTAACATTAATTAAGATTTGCTTCCTTTCAGACATCTTACTTGACTACTCCTTCGTTTAAGTACTACTCGTATTCCATCAGAAGATAGTCTTCTTCAAAAGTCAGTATAGTCTCAGTAATAATTATATTTCGAAAAGATAAATAAATAAAACTTTTGTTTCTCCGAACGCTTCTCGACAGTTTTTCTTTATTATGTTTATGTGACTGCCAAATAAGAGTATAAGTTTAAAGAATATTTCTAAATATTGTCATTTAAGTTTGCGCGACACACACGTCGTGACCTCCGTTTATATCTGGCCCCCTTTTGATTTCTAATATATTTATATTCCCTCTCATATGGACGCCACAACAATAGTGCAGTTGAATCGGGACAACCACTGGACCGGAGGTATGTATTTAGAGGGGGGAACCTAGTTAGCCATATGCTTATTGAGCGTCTCGACATTTTCACCGTTTTTGTCCTTGTGATACAAATTGTGATCATGTTTCACATCTACTCCATTCGCGACGTGAAAAGCTTCGACTTCACTCGAAATCCTCGTCATAATGTTTAAGAAGATTTAATCCGACACCCAGGACGGCGGATCGGATTAACTCTTCTTAAAGAGCGACGATTTTTCCCGGGAATATTACATACTTGCATTATGGCGCTTGCTCCCTCCCCTCTCTATTGTCAACAAAAACAAAGTTCGAAATAGATTGGCAACGATTAATAGGTGCGTCTCTCGCGGTTACATCGATCCTAACGTGAATTTTGTGCTCGTCTCTAGATTTGAGTTAAAGGTCTCGGCAAGGAAGGGCAAGTAATAGAGGGGATAAACCGCAAGCTTTCATTTTTGAGCGCATCGAGTGGATCGAAGAAGCTCTCCTGTTCTGACCTGCTTTCGGCCGTTTCATTCTCTTAGTACTTCCTTTGTGCTGTGGCAATTCATGTTGATTATGTTTTATCTAATTCACGAATGGCAAAGAAGATTTGTGAGAATACCACAGAGTCGGGGCGCAACATGGCCTTTTACGATTCACGGGGCATAAGTTACGGGACGTAAGATGTCAGTACATATAGTAAAATATTTAAAGTACGAGTTAGGTCGCCTGACCTGAGCCCGCTGGCGGAGGCTAGTTCAAAGTGTAAAGTGCTGACTCGCCAAAAATGATGGAAAACTTCGTAATAGCCGTCAGATGTCAAAACGTGCGTTATAAAGTTTTTTCATTAAGGGCGGTCATAAATTACGAGTTTCCATTTATTAATTGCAGCAATACGTTTCTCTCCCACAATCACAATGGACTATTGTTTCGGCGCAAATGTTGATAATACGATTTAAACTCGATTATTATTTATGGTTTGGTCGAAGTTTGGCTAAAATTGTTGGGGTGAATCTTCGGAGGCTAAATTGACGCAAAAATAAAGTTGAAGTTAAAGAAGATGG